AATGAGGAGAAAAAAAATAACGACTCTAAACAAAAATTAGCATGAGTCTAACAAATCTATGAGCAACAGACTGCATAGGGACCTTAGAATTTTTATGAATTTCACATTGTCTCAAAGGAAGAAAAACCAACCCAGGCCAATCCCCTCTTTCAAAAGAATGTTTCCTAAAGTTATTTGATTTCCAGTGACTGATTTTTTTTTCTTTGTTTGAGAGGCTATCCTCTCGGCAGTCACCAACCACGGTGACTTTGTGCCATCACATATTCAACATCTCCATCCCCTTGCAATGTGACTGGACCTGACCCCCACTAACCCTTTGAAATTTCAATAAACACTGGTGGATGACCTAAGATTTTTATTTCAAGTTTTATTCTCAACACAGAAATTGACACATCATATTGAATAGCCATGAGTCTAATAATAATAATGTAATGGTGGAAAAACTTCACAATAGCTCTGCAAGTCAGAGCTATGAGAACTCAATGGGAAGATGACATAATTGCATCAAGGAGGTCAGGATTAAAGACAGCTTAAGGGGGTGTTGCTGTGTAAACAGCAAATGATGGGGTGTGTTAAAGAAAGGTGAGCTGAGTTCCTGCTTTATTATATACAGGTTGTGTGACCTAAGCAAGTTGCTTAGCCTGTTCATATCTCATTTTTATGTGTGGTATATAAACCATACCAGGAGTCATATTTACATGCTAGTATGATGTTTAAAAGTTATTTTATGAGCATTAAACTACAAAATTACAGGACAAAACTGATATGAAGGTCTTAAAATATTTAGTTTAACAACATAAACAACACAAGTTATTAAAAGGTGGATAGAATAGTCTGGACAGTTAGAAACTCTCACTGTTCCTACCTAAACTATGCACCAGATATACAATAGAGGGGCCCATACAGTCTGTTTTGTTATGTTCTTAATTTTTTTAATCTGAAATAATGAACTACAATATGATCAAAAACCACAGCCTGGTGGTTTTGGTCTTTGAGCTCCACGAATTGGATTTTATACATATTTTAAATAGAATGATGTATAAGCTGGTTTTACTTCAGCTCTTATAGACATAGAGGTCAGAGGAAGGCATGTCTCAGCCAAGGTTATGGTTGATTGGGAAGAGCTGAAGCTAGAGCTCAAAGGCATTCAGTTGTCTTTCTAGTGCACTATGCACATTCAGTCAGCCTTCAGATTGATTTACTTATTCTTTCTAGATACAAACTACTTGCCTATTACATAAAGATGAAAATACAACTTAAGCAACAGGCACTTTATATATAGTATCATATAGTATAGTATAGTATAGTATAGTATAGTATAGTATAGTATAGTATAATCCTTAAGAAGATTGTTTTCTAATGAGACATATAGAGGATGGATCCAGACATCAGGAGAGGTGTAAATGAACCAGGAGGAAGATAGAGAGAGGGGAAACCATAGTCATTATACACTGTATGAAAAAATGCAATTTCAGTAAGAAATAGTCACTATACATATATATATGCATTCTTAATACATACATATGTATTTCTTATTTTTTTTTAAATTTATTCATTTTACATACCAACCACAGATCCCCTTCTCATTTCTCCTCCTGCACCCACACCCACACCTAACCCTCCCAACCCACTCCTCCTCCCCTCTTCCAAATGGTTAAGTTCTTCCATGGGGAGAAAGCAAGCTGCCTCAACTGAAAGTCATTTTTTTAAGAGCAGCTAACTACCTGTTTCCTGTTCGTATTTTTTTCCAATGTGCTTCATGGTCTCTGTATAAGATAGAGGAATTCTCCAGGAATAGTTCTAGGGTGATTTCTGAACCTTCAAAACCACAAATGATTTTGCTCATGATAAAAAAAAAAAAAATGATAGGATGAAATCTGGCATGTGGGTTGGTTTCTATTATCTCTATCTGGTACGATACCTGAATCAGTTATAGAAATGATTACTTATTGAGTAACTGTGTGAGAGATGCTGTTCTTACTTCCTCACAATTGTTACCCTCACTGAACCACATATCAACGCAATGACATAACCGTTGTCACCACCTCATGTGAATACACTCATATACACAGATGAGAATTTGAAGGCTGGAATTAGAGTGAAGTCAGAGTCTAAGACCCAAGCTCTGAACCTGTTTTGAAATATTCTTCACCATGTAATACATGTTGTGCAAATAATGTGAATTCCATAAGTATCTGTTAAATAGCAATTCATATAGGAAGCTAACTTATATAACCTTAAAAGTATAATTATCAATATTGTTATGAAAATGACAGTATATAAAACACAAAGATGCTTTTGTTCATCAACAAAATTAACAGGAACCAAACTATTCTTTTAAAAGTACAGCTTACCTACACAGAGAAACCCTGTTGTGAAAAATAAGAAAAAACAAAAAATGTACAACTTACTCCTTTAAATTCTTGATTCACCCCGATGTTAATTAATGGCATCACTACATTTTTCCAAACTGTGTCAAAATAATTTATAAGCTTTGTTTAACACACATTAATCTGCTGCAAAGAAATCTCTATTTTATGCATTTGCTTATACGCACATCTAACAAAACAGTTTTGACAGCAATGCCATGGTTCTGTTTAGGTTTGGTGTCTTGAGCCATCCCTTATTGCTAATGGGAAGTGATAGTAGAGATTCTATCTTTCTCTCCTTCAACTGGGACAACTTTTTACTCAACAAACATTTCTTATTCTATATGCTGAAAACACAGAAAAGAACAAAAATAAGCACATAGTCCCTTTGAAAACATTACTTTGAAATGATAAGACATTATTTGTATTGTATCATAATTTATATTGTATTTCCTCGGGTTTAATAAATCATTCTTAGCATCAAGGTTTTAACCAAAAGCCATACACTCTGCCATCCATCTGAAGCTTAAAGTTACAACCTATGTGTCCAATCCTATGTCTCATTTTGCCCAGCCCTTAGTGTGTTAGATGACTTGAAATGTGTGCAGTTATATGTATTTTTTCTGAGCTTTTTATTTGACTTCCTTGTTCTTCCCAAGGACAAGCTTTTCCTTTTTAACTCAAAAGTGCCTCTGATAAGAATATTTAATGACAATATTTTCATGAATCTTTAATCTGCTTCTTTATAAACATAGTATCTATTATGTTAATGACACATTTAATATGTTCAACTGTTTCTATCCTGAAAGATGGTTGTTTGTCCATGCTTTGAGTTCTCTGAAAGGTATGAAATCTTTCTAATTGAATATATGTATGATCTATATCTGATTATCTCTTTAACATAGTACCATAGCAGAGTGAATTTTAATTCTTTGATATGTTTACAATTCAGTAATTTAATTTCTATGAGCCTTGTCTCCATTATCATTGAAATTTGTTTATATAATGAATAAAGAAAAGAAGAAGCCTGAAATATAAAGAGAAACTAGAAAACATATGTGTGAACAAGGGTCAAAAAGAGGTGAGGATAGAGGGAGGAAGATAACTTGTGTGTGAAAGAGTATGCATGCTGACTTCTAATAGTGTAACGTAAGTTCTCACTCAGCTCAGCTTTGGTTACAGGTGTGTGCAAATCATTATCCACAAGTTGCAGATAGCCATGCACAGCTATGATTCTGGTCCAACTGACACTCATAATATACTTAAAACACTATGAGAGTGTTCTGTGTGTGGTTTTATTGTAACTTGGTTGCACAGTTCTTAAGCATGAACTTTGTAGATCACAATGTGATCCAGAGAAGACAAAAGGTCAGGTACCTGGTTCAATTGTAGCTTTGTGCACTGCAGTCCAGCCAGACAACAGCATTGATTCAGTATCAAACTCAAAACTAGTATAGCATTCTTCAAAACAAGGATTACCCATTTATTTATTTAAGAAAATTTTACTCATTTCATATACCAACCACAGATCGCCCTCTCATCCCTCTTCCAGCTCCCCCTCAGCCTCCCATCCATCTCCCCATCCTCTCTTCCAAGGTAAGGCCTCCCATGAGGAGTCAGCAAAGCCTGGTACACTCAGTTGAAGTAGGACCAAGCCCCTCTTCCATCCATCAAGGCTGAGCAAGGTGCTCCACCAAAGGCAATGGGCTCCAAAAAGCCAGCTCATGCACCAGGGATAGATCCTGATCCTACTGACAGGGGCCCCTCAAACAGACCAAGCTACACAACTGTCTCCCATATGCAGAGGGCCTAGTCCAGTCCCATGCAGGCTCCATAGCTGTTGGTCTAGTTTGTGAGTTCCCCCAAGCTTGATTCAGTTGTCTCTGTAGATTTCCCCACCACGATCTTGACCCCCATCCCCTTGCTTACAGAATCCCTCTTCCCTTTCTTCAACTGGACTCCTGGAGCTCAGCCTGGTGCTTGACTGTGGTTCTCTGCATCTGCTTCCATCATTTACTGGATGAAGGCTCTATGATGATAGTTAGGGTGGATTGCCCACATTTTTATATCCTTAGTTTGTTAAATAAACTACTTAAGTAAGGAAAAGGCAATTCTTTTACTAAAAGTTTTATATTAAAATAGTACATAGGTAATGGTTAACACTTATTCAATAGCTATGAGCTCCCCAAAGACAACAGGTGTCTGACCACTACATCTCTAGCACTTGAAGAGGAGAATTGTGTTTGAACATCATAAGTGAACAATAGGGGAAATGAACAATGATGGGCAAAGCCTGCCAAAGCCTCTTAGGTCTGAAGCAGAAGAAGTAAATATAAGGCATTTAATGGTGTAGTCTCAATTTCAAGCCACCTTAAAGTTTGCCACTATAATTAACATTGTTATGTTTTCCAATTAACAAACCTTTATAAAACTTTGGTTACTTTGCTGTTAAAGAAGTCTGTACATACCTGAATTGCAAGAGATTAACATTTTCATAAGATAATCTTAGCCAACTGTGAGTGTTCATATTTAATCTAATAAAATAACCATGATTCTTTCTTCTTGTTTTTGTTTTTGTTTTGTTGTTGCTGTTTTGCCTTGGCAGGTTCAGAACTAGTGGGCAAAATAAACATGACAACACTTTCAACCACTTTAAATCACACCAATCTCAGAGACATCTGGTACACCATGATTGGGATCCCAGGACTAGAAGATGCACACATATGGATCTCTATCCCTATCTGTTCAATGTACATAGTGGCCATTGCAGGCAATGCACTGCTGTTATTCCTGATTATCACTGAACGCAGCCTTCATGAACCCATGTACCTTTTTCTCTCCATGTTGGCCCTTGCTGATATCTTTCTGTCCACAGTCACAACACCAAAAATGTTAGCAATCTTCTGGTTCCAAGCTGGAGGCATTTCCTTTGCCAGCTGTGTGTCTCAGATGTTTTTCCTCCACTTTATCTTTGTGGCAGAGTCTGCCATACTGCTGGCTATGGCATTTGACCGTTATGTGGCCATCTGCTATCCACTAAGATATACCAATATTCTAACCCCATCTGTCATCAGCAAAATGGGTATTGCATCTGTGACTAGAAGCTTCTTCATCTGCTTCCCCCTGATTTTCCTCGTTTATCGGCTCACCTACTGTGGGAGGAACATCATTCGGCACTCATACTGTGAACACATGGGCATTGCCAGGTTGGCCTGTGACAGCATCAAAGTCAACATTTACTATGGGGTGATAGTGGCTCTGTTTTCCACCTGCCTAGATGTGGTACTGATCATTGTATCATATGTCCTTATACTTTGTGCTGTGTTTAGAATTCCTTCTCGAGATGCCCGACTCAAGGCTCTGGGTACATGTGGCTCCCATGTTTGTGTTATTCTCCTGTTCTACACACCAGCTTTTTTTTCTTTCTTTGCTCATCGTTTTGGGGGTCACAGTATACCACTGCATGTGCACATTCTCCTTGCTAACCTCTATGTGGTAGTACCACCCACTGTCAATCCCATCATTTATGGCGTGAAGACTAAGCAAATTCAGGAGAGGGTTATCCAAGTCTTTTCTTTAGGCAAGACATTTTGTTGACATAAACCAAGCAGCTTGGTTCAGTGCTTTATAATTTTCCCATGAACTATAGAACTCAGGAATATCTGAAGTTACAATAGGAATATTAAATCAAGAGAGTACTAATGAAGGCCATCATGGCAATTTTGAGCAATCAAGAGTGAATTCTACTCAGCATATATTTTGTTCAGAATAATACTAGAACAAGGACACATTATTTTATGTACTATTTTTCATCTTTGTTACAGCATACATATTCATAATAGTTCAAAAACTTTCAATTTTATGTTAACACATAAAACAGGAAAATAAATGGCATGGTCCTTGTTTATAAACCAAACAAATGGAGATAGACTCATATAATTTTTCATTTCAGCCCATTTTTCTAAAACTGGGAAGTGAAGAGTGCTACATGTCCAAGACATTATTCCTGTGCAGTTATCATCCTAGATCGTCACTGAGCATTTGGGTTCCAAGTTCAAGTTTTGTATTAAAGATGTCTGATTTTGGTCAAAGGGAGTCTTCTTTCATTGTTGCACATACATCTCCAATTTGCACTGATAGATGGATAGATAGATAGATAGACAGACAGGAATGTCCTACAGAAAACTCCTAAAGTAGTGCCATGTATAATATGAAAATAATAATTTTGTCTATTATTATTATTATCAATTGAAAAATGAGTATGAATCTGATAATCCTAGAAATTTAATTCCTTTTATTGCATTTATTCTTTCACAGAAGATAATCCTGGAGCACACAAATGCTAAGAATCTTCACTGTATGTACAGGACAAGGACTAAGAGAGAGAGATCTTAACCACATTAGGACATGTATTAATTACAACAGTTGAAATAGAACATCCCTAATTTTCTCTGTAAATAAATGTGAAGGTGGCAGCTATCCATCTTGGCCATTATGTGAAGGCACTGTAAACTTCAGAATTTTCATAAGGTAATAATTACAATTAGTAGTAAAAATAACAAGTATATATCAGAAATAAAGTATGATGGGATATTAGAGAACATTTAAAAAATGATAAGTAATTGAACACAGAGAAGTCTTATGTATTCACTTGTATAAATACATGAGCAAATTCACTAGCCCATGTGTACATGTTCACAGCATTGAAAATAAACATGAACTAAAAATATAAATGTTCATGATGAATTTGTTAAAATACAATCCAACTATAGCATAGTGAAACTGTTACAATATAAACTACAGCTAAGTATGCACAAGGAAATAAAATGTTATTTTTATGTAATGTAATAACATAAAAATAATATTTATTACATAAAAATAACATTTTATTTCCGGAAAAACAAGAAAATGGAGATAAAATAAGATATATGTAGGAATGTATATATCCGTCTGAAACAATGTTTATCTTATTCGCATAAAAAAGGAAGAATAAGTACAATTTCATTGCTAATTTAAAATTTTTAAGGGAATATTTTAGTGAAATCAAGTTTAATACTTTAAGCTCTATAAATTCTCTCCTTCACATAGTAGATACATAGTGTTAGCATTACCTTATCCCACTAGTCTGTAGATATTCCTGTTGTTTTTCTTCATATATTAGAATCTTACCTACACTTATTGTCATAAGTCTCCTTGTCAAATATCTAATCACCTAATAAATCATTCAAGATTTTTATTTGCTGGGTTTTTTGCATACAAAAATTATGTTTTAATTATTTAATTGGAATTGTTCCTCATTGAAAAGATGATAATTTAGGACTGTTGATTTTTGTGAAAAATAGACAGAGAATGCCCCTTTGAACCATATTTAGTGTGAGGTTGTTGTCAATGATGAGAAAAGAAAATGTATATATTTCTACAGAATTCTTAATTCTTATTTAACAACTGTTTTTTCAAAATTCAAGATTTATGCATCCAAAATACTATTGGACTCTAGACTGACAGCTGGGGATCCTGTATGGGACCTAACTAGGACTTCTGCAAGTAGGTGACAGTTTTGTAGCCTGGTCTGTTTGTGGAGCCCCTGACAATGGGACCAGGATCTATCCCTGGTGCATTAGCTGGCTTTTTGAAACCCATTCCGTATGGTGGGATGCCTTCCTCAGCCTTGATACAGGTGAGGGGAGCAGGGGAGTTAGTCCTGCCTCAAGTGAATGTGCCAGGCCTTGTTGACTCCCCATGGGAGGCCTTACCCTTTCTGAGGTGTGGATGGGAGTGGATTGGGAGAGGTGGAGGGGGGAGCAGGAAGGGGAACTGTGGTTGGTATGTAAAATGAATAGAAAAATAAATTGAAGAAATACTTTCCTAAGTGTCTGGATGAAAGCATTTCCTAGATTTTACCTTTTAGAGACTGGGAATAAAGTTTGAAATTAGTTAGTTTTAGAAACACTAATCTCTGCCCACCAGTATCATTGCTGAAGATCTAAGAAGACAAATAACTATTCTAAGAATGGGAGAGGGAAAGTTGTTCAAAAAAAGGAATCTACACTACATTGTGCTGTTTTTTAGGATACCAATTCCTTGCATGTGTATAAGAAAATTAACTGCAACTAAAATATCTACCATTCCACAGTTTAAGAAGAAAAATGTTCAGCTCTATAAGACCTAGATAAGTGAGTTTTCCCAACCAGATTGAAATATTTTATAACTTACAAGCCACACAATAGTTTGCAGAAACATCAGAGGTGAGATTTTTAAAAGGTCCTAGAAGTGAGAAATACTTAGGAAATAATAATCCTTGACTAGCTGTCCTCTGTTCATTCACGATGAATATTACAAGAACATATTTTAGATTAACCTGTTTCTAGGTCATTCTGTAATAATTGTCACATTGTAGCTTGCTAGTGCAGGTAGGATTTTTGTGTTAATCCCTGAAGACTACATCTGAATAACAGTCTTTTTATGAAACTAATCCACCATTTAGTCTTTCTTTTTTTGTGTTTTTGTTTGTTTGGATTTTGGTTTTTGTATGGTTGGTTAGGCTTAATTAAGGATCCAGAGTTCATAAGACCATGGTAATTTTCTTAGATATCACAATTCTACTGAGGGCATGCTTCTTGGGAATGACAGTGCTATATAACCTGTGTCTGAATGGGTTCATGTACCTATATCCAGGAAAAACAGCCTATCTCACATAGCATCAGAAAGAACAGTTGCCAAGTTAAAACAAAGGTAAGCACATCTACAATATCACATTAGAAAGTTGATGATGACTTCTTTGTGTCAAGTTTCAAGTTAAGTACACTCCTGATACCTAAGAAAAGAAATGGCACTTTTTTTTTTCAGTCATGCCTGCTCACGCTATGGCATTTCTTCAAGAAAGTTCCTTTAGCTGCACCAGTGTAAGGAATGGGATCATGTCTCACCCTCATGAAATGATATCTAGTATAGATAGTGATGACGGAACACCTGGCCAGACTCTGTTCTTTCAATCAAATGAAATTTTCATTGAAATATGGTTTTTTGTAACATAAAATATCCATAACAGAAAGATCTCCAAGACTGTAATGATGAGTTGTTTCCAAAATGGGAAAATGTAGAGAGAAAAACTGGGAGTCTTCCACTTCAACCATAGTCAATTATAGTCTGGGTTTGGTGTAAATAAAGAGAGGTATCTGATTCTACAAGACTTTGATTTTATTTATTACATTCAGTTTCTTGATTTAAGACTTCAGATTCTTTTGAAATTTAAAAGTAAATGGGTTATCTTCCCCCTTCATCAAAAATAAAAACAAAAGGCACAAAAGGAGTTCTGGTGAAGTAAGAAAGCCTTATTCTCCAGACAGGAAGAGCTGAATTTCTAAGAGACTTTCATGATGGTTTTTATTCATTGTGTTGATTTGTTTTGCCTTTATTCACTTGTTTTTGGCACATCATATTCGGTTCAAAGCAGCATAGAATTGTAATGATAGCTACAAATCAAAGCAACTGGCATAGAAGTGTAGTTACTATGATCTAAGATACTCTCCAGGATCAATTCATTCCTGCAAACCCAATAATAGTTTCATTGTAGCATTTTAACACACATTCATTTAAATGTAGGGTTCCTAGAACATTTAAGAGGAAATTACTAGAGTGAGGACAAGAGCTGAAGCTCTAAAGAAGGAGGTTTGACTATAAATGAGAGTAAACAGAAGTGAGAACAGAACCCCTTACCTAACCAGTATCAAATTCATAGGGCAAAATGTTTTCTTAACCAAAGACACTTTTTCATTTGACTTCTGGCATTGCTACCATCTTGGAGAATCATTGGCCCATCTGCCCACATATCCTTATTCTATTTAATAACTGTGCTCTCTCTGTGGTAGAATTCTGTCTATCTGTTGGATTGGTTGTTGGTCCTGGATTATTGGTTACATACCAAGTTACTATTTCAGAAAAAAAAAAAAAACTATCTTTTTTATCATCTCACAGTTCCCTCATTTCTAATGGATAATTGTTTGTACTACTCAACACTTTTTTCTCAACTAGGTCTCTTTTAGAATCACTGGATTATTTGGTTTTTATTTATGTATGTAAAATTTTTATGTGATATATTTTATCATATTCTTTACCCTCCCCAAACTATTCCTAGATCCTTTCCATTTCTCTATCCATCAAAATTCATGTTCTCTCTCACTCTCTCAAAAACAAAACACAAAATGAAGATCAAACAAAAACATTAAGGTTAAAAAAAAAACACCACACACCTAAAGAAAATGAAGTCTAAAACTAAACTAAACTGAAAGTACACCCAGAAATACATGTAGTTTGTTTTGTGTTGGCCAACTTCTAGAAAGAGGCCTGCCCTAAAGTATGGTTGACATACCTAGTGTCACTCTTTTGGAGAAAACTGATTTCCCCCTTCACAGCAGGTATAAATGCCAAATAGTTTCTTGGTTATGCCTAGAACTTTGTGTCCATTTCTAAGTTCTGGTATTTTCTCTGATTTGAACCCATGCATGTTTGTGCATCTTATCATAGTCTCCATGAGTTCATATGTGTCATCAGTCCTGTTGTATCTGGAAGATACAGTTTTCTTGGAGTCATCCACAACCTCTAGTTCTTACAATCTTTACAACTTCTCTTCTTCATAGACTCATGAGCCTTGAAGGGACGGTTTTATAAAGGCATATTATTTAGGCCTGAGTACTCAAAGTTTCTTATTCTCAGAACATTGTTCAGTTGTGGGTCTCTGTGTTAATTATCATCAACTGAAAGAAGAAGCTTTTCTGATGTACTGATCTACGGATATAGCAACATGTCATTAAGAGTCATTTTATTGCTGTATTACTTTAACAGAATAATAGCAGTACATTTTCCCCTAGGGTCTATAACTTACCTAGTCTCAATTTCTTGGATACTTAAAAAATGTCAGATGTGGGTTCCATCTCATGGAGTGTGCCTTAATCCAATCAAATATGTTTGTTTACTCCCATAACATGTGTGCCACTATCACACCAGTATGTCTTTCAGGCAGGTCACTGTTGTTGGTCATAGGATATTTTAGCTGGGTGCTATTCATGATTAGCTTTATACTATAGTAGCATGCATAGTATCCTCAGCAGCATGAAAACTAGTCAGTAGGGGTGATGCTTCCATCTGGACACCAGCTTAATTACTCTATGTTAGATGACATAAGTGAGTGTGTTTTCAGCAAAAGGATATTGCTGTTAGGTTATAGAGGGTAATCAACAGCCTTGGTAATAGCCTGTGAGAGTTAGGGGTTTAGTTTATAGGACCTCTTTGGCAATAGATCAATAAGATGTAGCCCATTCTGTCACTGGAGTCTTACTTGGTGTCATAAGATGTCTAGTTGGGGCACTGTCTACCCCATTATATGATGATTTTGTTTAAATTTCTTTCATATATGTATGTATTTTAGGAAGTCTCTACAGTAATATGACTATGTCTTTTCTAGATGCCTTTAGTGTCAGTTGTCTCTCCCCATATTCTCTTTTACCCTGTACTGACATCCTCCTCTCTATTTAATTTTCCTAATGTAGTTTCTTTGTTATAAAGAGGACATTGTTGTATTTTCCCTTCCATGGAAGATTCCCTCCTACCCCCTCATCCCTTACTAATGATCTAAACTCTCTGTTATTCTAATGAAACACACATATCTAAAGACTTAAAAAGATAATATCCACATATAAGAGAAAACATGCATTGTTTGTCTTTTGCAGTCTGAGTTATGTCTCTCAGGATAATTGATTCTAGCTTTATCCATTTACTTGGAAATTTCATTTTTCTAAGCAGCTGAATAATAATATACCACTATGTAAATATAGTACATTTTCATTATCCATTTATCAGTTGATAGACATCTAGACTATTTGTAATCTGGCTATTATGAATAGAGCAGAAATGAACATGGATGAACAAATATCTCTGTGATAAGATGCAGAATCCATTGAGTAAGTGCCCAAAAGTAGTATAGCTGGAACTTGTAGTGGAAAATTTTTAGCTATTTTTCATGTGAGGATTAGAACAAATAAATACTGATTTTTATTTTATTACAAAGATGTTTCAAATGTAGTATTTCCAAAAATCTCGTACATGCAACTTAACCAGTTCCCTGTGTTTCATTTTGTTTCAGTTAAGGAAGCAGGTTACCCACATTTATTGAACTGTTTTTCATAACGGTATACTTTTTATTTAAAAAAAAAGTCTGTTAAGATCCTTCCTTCAAATTCTTCATCACCTAATTCTTCTGACATAGACCAATCTGAGAGCTTCATCTCTTTTGCATTTAAAAGAAAAGTTCCCAATAATTCTCAATCCTTCATGTTATATTTTTTCTTTATTTAAGTGATTATCTTCTCACTACCACCAGTCATGATGACTTATTGTCATGTATACAACATTTCCAACACTTTGCAGTGTTGGAACTTGACCATTATTAATCCTTTGAAAGTTTTATAAACACTGGCCATGGTTTAATATTTTCCTCTCATTTTATTTTTGATACAATAATTTGAAAGATAAATCTAATAATGATAGATTATGATGGCAATGATGATGATAGCAATGTAATAACAAAAGTAAGAGCAGAAACACTCCGAGGTAGAACTGTGAGAATATATTAGGAAAGCACAATAGTGATGGCATCAGGGAAGTCAGAGGTAAATATAGTTAAGGGAGGGTTCTCTTTCCAGGGCATCATGAATGTTTAAAACAGCCTTCCGAATTCATCCACTTAGTTCTTTTTAGAAACAAAATATTTCTCTGTTATTTCTCAATAAAAATACATTTATGTTTATCTTTATAATTCCTGAATTCTCACTTCACTTCTTATATTGGTTAATGGTATTACTACTTTTTATAGATGGCTTATGTCAAGATAATTTATAGCCTTTCTTTCATGACTGATTTACCTAACACAAAAATCCCTTCTTCATCTTTCATCAGAAATAGAAATAAAGAAGAAAATACTACAATTTAAACACAATCTGGGAGATTTAATGGGAGAAAAAGAATCAGTGTAGGTGGGACATTGGAGAAGGAAAGTAGTACTTAGAAAATAAGAGAACAGCATAAACTGAACTAGTTCTAAAGAAATGCTCATGCTGCATAGTGTTGTTTAAGCTAAAACAAATGTGGACTGTGATCATGTAAAACAAGAACATAGTTCCAGTTTTATACTTAGTAAATACAAGGCTGTGCAAAGCAAATATTTCATCTATTTCTATTATTTTCTAAAAATGCATTGCTAGAATAAGGAAAAATACAATAACTTTATGGCAGTGTTTACATTAGAGTGCAGGGATGACAGTTAGCATGGACCTCAGGAGTATTGTGTTTCTAGGAAGACAATAAGGAGTATCCAAACCACTACAATTCTGGAACTTCAGTAAAGAGTATTTTGATTAAGAATCAAGAAATGAACAACTGAACAAAACCAGCTATGGTATGCAAAACCTTTTACCCATTCATGGATTTGTATGTTTGATCTTAAACCTAAAAGTTTAGCATGGTTTCTAAAAATTTAAAGTTTGTTTCTATTCATTATAATCATCGTTTTTGTCAAACCCTTATAAGTTTTTATTTTCCTGTTAATGAGCTGTACCTGGCTAGCAATTACTGAATCATATATGTCAACTCATTGTTAATGTATAAGTTTCACAAAGTGATATTTTATGATAATCTAATCAAAATAACCACAATTTTTTTGTAATTTATATTTTTCTTCAGTCCCAAGCTCCAGTATCTGAGGACAAAGAAAAGATGGTAATGTCTTCAAATCACACCAACCTCAGAGACATCTGGTACACCATGATTGGGATCCCAGGACTAGAATATGCACACATTTGGCTCTCTATCCCCATTTGTTCAATGTATATAGTGGCCCTTGCAGGCAATACCCTATTAATATTCCTGATCTTCACTGATCACAGTCTTCATGAACCGATGTACCTTTTCCTCTCTATGTTGGCCCTGGCTGATATCATTCTATCTACAGTGACCACACCAAAGGTTCTTGCAATCTTCTGGTTTCGAGCTGGAGGCATTTCTTTTGCTAGCTGTGTGTCTCAGATGTTTTTTCTCCACTTTATGTTTGTGACAGAGTCTGCCATACTGCTGGCTATGGCATTTGACCGTTATGTGGCCATCTGCTTTCCACTAAGGTATACTACCATTCTAACTCCCTCAGTCATCGGCAGAATGGGCCTTGCATCTGTGACTAGAAGCTTCCTCATCTGTTTCCCCTTGGTCTTTCTTGTTTATCGGCTCACCTACTGTGGGAGAAACATCATTCGGCACTCATACTGTGAACACATGGGCATTGCCAGGTTGGCCTGTGACAGCATCAAAGTCAATATTTACTATGGAATGACTGTACCTTTATTTTCCATAGGCCTGGACATTGTGCTTATCATCATCTCTTACACCCTTATACTTCATTCAGTATTTAGAATTCCATCTCGAGATGCCCGACTCAAGGCTCTGGGTACATGTGGCTCCCATGTCTGTGTCATCCTTCTGTTTTATACACCTTCTCTCTTTACCTTTTTTGCTCACCGTTTTGGGGGCCACAGCATACCGCGTCACATGCACATTCTCTTTGCTAACCTCTATGTGGTGGTACCTCCTACCCTCAACCCCATCATTTATGGAGTGAAGACGAAGCAAATTCAAGAGAGGATTTTCCAGATGTTTTCTTTCAGTAAGGCATGTTTTTGATGTAAACAGAGAAGTGTGATCTTAGTGTTTTTTTCCTAGAAATTACATAACTGAAGCATCTGAAGTTTCTCCTGAAATATTATGTCATGGCAGCATTAAAAGTGAGAATGACAATAATGCTGAAGTAAATGAGTATTGATTTTTTTGTCTCTTGTTTAGAAAAAGTAGTCTGAGGACAGCTTAATTTCTGTTCCATGCTCAGGTTACTTGTAATATCCCCAGAAGAACTAAGAATAGGGTCCATATTCACAAACTAAGCAATTGAAAAGCAAAAGTCCATTTTTAACCTGCCATACATTCACCCTTTATTTTTATAAAATAGGTAAATATAATAATACAATACTTCATAGAAAGTTTAAGTACCACATTAGCAGTGTGGCTTAGTCCTTGAGTATTTATGCTCTGAGTTCAAGTTTAGAATTTAGATGTTCAATTTTGATCATGACTATTAGTCTTCATGGGCTCTTAAATATTTAGCTTCAAAAGTGCCAAGCATAAAATGAAAATGATCTATGTATTATTTTATTATCAATTGAAAACTAGTCTGTATCTTATGAATACCTGGATTTTCCAGACAGAAAGAAACCTGTGTTTCTCTCCCTTTCTCAGGTAATCCTAGAGCAACATTGAAATCTTTAAGAATAAGAACAACACTTTGCAATAGAGAGAATTCAACCTCATTAATGTGTGTGTTAATTAAACTATTGAAATTAGTCGAAATTATTTCTCCCTAAATAAATAAAAAAACAGTTTCCTTCTAGGTCATTATACATGGTGATATAGACAGAATTTCTACCATCAGGAATATTTACAGTTAGTAACATTGGTAACAGGTATCCCTTAGGAAGTAAATGCAATGATAGGGTGTCAGAGCTCATAAAAATAAAGTGAATAAAAATAGAGTGATCTCCACTATTCACTCAAATTCACATGTAACGCTCTAATCTGTATGCATGTTCACAGCACTGAAAGTGAAGGTGAACTAAAGAGTAATGTCATGAGTGCGCTGGATCTATTTGTTAAGATGTTTCTTAAAACTGTAATGTAGTAGGACTGTCACAGAACTTGGACTTAAGTACTTCTATGGAGATGAAGCTTTAAGTCTTTTAGAAAGAAATGAGGTAATGTAGAATGATACATGTTATATGATCTCAAATACATAGAGGCACCAACTCAGACTCATATAGACCCATATATGTGTTGTATTTATATAAAGTTAAAGAACAAATAAAATGTCACTTATATTGTAGAAATGTTTAAGAAAATGTTTAGCTAAGATAAATTTGAAACAATACTCTATCAGTTTTCTCTTTTACAATAAAGATACATTACTCTAACTATATTATTTCATGGTAGATATTCCTGTTTTCTTCATACAGTATAACCTTAAAGACAATTGTTATAATCTTATATAATCTTTACTAGATATCCAATTACCCAATAAATTATACACAATTTAGATTTGCTTACTTTCATTGTATCTTGAAAATATATTTAAATGTATTTGGTTGTAGTTTTTCATCACTTACAGGAGTATTTTAAGATTTCCCTTTTGTGGAAGCATTAAAAGAGTATGGTGGTGGCTGTTTGATAATATCTATCACCAGGTAGCTGTTAGCAATGGCAAGGAAAATATATACACAGCTGTAGAATTATTAGATAACAATGTATATTTTTCAAAATTCAAGACATACATATTCAAAACATTTGCCTAACTCTACAAATGAAATGTGTGCCTGTTGAAGTCTGTCAATAAAGCTCACATCTACTAATAAATTCCTTGGAATTGATAAAAATTAGAAAGAATAAAACTTCTATGTTCATCTCTATCACTGCTGAGAATTTAAAAAGACCTATACATTGAGAATGTAAGAATGGAGAAAACTGGCTGTTCCAGAAGAGGAATCTACACATTATCCCAGTTGTCAGAATCCTAATTCCTTGTATGTGTATGAGCAAATGACTAGAGGGCCAAGACACAAAACACCCCATGGTATGAGAAGAAAAAGGCCCAGAGCTCAGCATGACCTGAATAAGTGATTTTTTCTCAGCCAAATTGAAACATTTTATAATTCACAAAGAATGCAATAGAGTTTATAGAAAAAAATGAGGCTCTTATGGGAAGTAATTAAATTAATTGTTCTCTGGTTATGCATGACAAACCTTAAAATAGTATCTTAAGAGTCAATGTATTTCTAGTTGTTTTGATCCCAACATAAGAATAAAAGATAAGAAATTCAAGGAGTAAAGTAAAAAGCTATGAGTTGGCAACACTTAAGCACTTGAGACTGAGATTAGCATCCTGCAGTTTGAGCTGGGCAGAATCCACAGGGTCCCCTCTACATGTAGTTGTAATAAAGTTACTGCTGAACACATTCTGCACTCACTGATCAGCCCTGGGGTATCACTGGAGGGCAGTGTCAGGACTCCTTCCTTAGCCCTTCCCCAAGGACACCTTCCAGAACCAAAAGAATATGAACTTGGAACTTCTTAGCTATGCATTAAAAATTGAGAAAGAGCTAAGTGAGTAGATACTGTGACAATTTGATTCCTACCAGCAAAACATGTGTGACTTAAATAAGAATAAAACTCTTTCAAATATAGTTGTAGAGAGAAATTCAGCTTTCATTTCCATTGAGCATCAATTTTCATTAGAATCTGGGGCAGTGACTTAAGTTCATTTGTTAAAAGTGAACCATAAAAACAATGACGCTAGCATAGGGCATACTCATCATGCTCTCTGTGCAGTGTTCTGTCCGAGCATTCCTGGCTATGGCACATGTTAAACTTGCCATGCTCCATGCAGTGTCTGAGCATTCCTGGCTGCACTGAGCACAACAGCAGATTCAAGCAAAAGGATCAATGTCTAATCTTATGACAAAATTAGTTGTGTGGATTATTGAGTTGAAATTAAATAATAATACTGCAATATTATTCCTTTGCAGAGTTATGCATCCCTGAAGATTGAGTTTATCCCTGTCCATACATGCATGAAGTATGAAGTGTCAGTTTTCATAAAATAAACCCTCTTTCAAGCTAAATCAAATTTCTGAGTATAGAAAGTTGCCTGTGTTCATCTTACACTGCCTTTCTTGAATGTATTAAAAACTGTTTTGTTCAGTCCTTAATTTTCACTTTAAGCTTTCATTACACTGAATGTTGAGATGAAGACAAAATAGTCTTGATTATACTTTGGTTCTGTGAATCAGGAAACAAAATCAATGCTGAATTTCTGTATGTTATGTTTTCTGCCCAATCATAATAAGATACTGTCATTGACTTACTTTTAACCTTGGCTCTTTGAATCTGTATTTATTACGTAGGGTTACATTAAGGGATTAGTAAAGTACAGTGTCATCTATGCAGCTGTTATATCTTAACTCCAAGGTCCTTCACCTTTATCTTGACATTTCTTTTCTGCAGGCATTGAACTTTTAGTGTGAATGTTACTTACCATTTAACAAGAAATCAAATCTACACTGTTCTACTACAAAGGAACATAACTATTACCATAAAGAAAACTCTCCATTGTATTTTTAAATCAATTTTATAGTATCTTGTTTACTGCAGAAGTTCATCATACTGACATTTTTTTTTCTTTTTTTTCAAGACAGGGTTTCTCTGTGTAGCTTTGCGCCTTTCCTGGAACTCACTTGGTAGACCAGGCTGGCCTCGAACTCACAGAGATCCACCTGCCTCTGCCTCCCGAGTGCTGGGATTAAAGGCGTGCGCCACCACCGCCCGGCCATACTGACATTTTTATTAAACATTCTCCTTGGATTTTCAGATTTAGGAAAAATCATTGTGAGGACTTGAGTCATAACTGGACTGACACTCTGCTGTGTGTTACTTCATCCTCATTGTATGCATCCTAAATGCAGATGGAGAGGTCTTCAACTCAAGATAAAAAGGATAAGACATTGAGATTCTAAGATTTCTCTATACCTAAGTAAGCTTGATATAGCTTTCCAATAATCTCATCCTATCCCATTCTTCATGGAGAAAAGAATCCAGGCATGTCTCAGACATGTGTATTTGACCTTGGTATGTGAAAAAAAAAATTATCCATTGTCATTATACACTCCTAAGGTTAAATGAGCCTGAAGGATGTACTTTTATTTGTGAGGGTAATTTTGAAGCAAACAATTTGATTTTAAAAATGCAGCAGAACAATCTCTGTATGTTCCTATGTGCCTTGGTCCTTTTGTGCCTGGAGAGTACTGTTTCCATTGAGTCATCTCTCACCTTTCTGCCTCCTCTTACAATCTTTCTGCCTTCTCTTCCACATGGCTCCCTGAGCCATACACAGAGGGTTTGATGAAGACATTCCATTTAAGTCTAAATGCTCCAAAGTCTCTCAGTCCCTGCAGAATGCCCAGTTGTGGGTTTCTGGGTTAGTTCCCATCTACTACAAGAAGCTACTCTGATGATGGCTGAACAAGGCACTGATCTGTGGGTATAGCACAATGCCATTAGGAGTCAATTTATTACTATGTTTTTGTTTTTAGAAGAATGATAGTATTTGGTTTTCCTCTAGGGTCCTGGTATATCCAGTCTCAGGCTCTTGACTACCTTGAAAAATGCAAAACAATAGTACTCAAAAGGTTTGCACAAAGTCAAGCCAGACAAAATGCTGACATAGAGGAGAGGTTTTGGAGGCACAAAGTCCTCCTCATACAAGGGATCTATGAGAATCTGTTTGCTGCTGGAAGAGAAAAAGTCAGTGACATCCCTGGTATATTGACCAATGCCAGGGCAAACCCTACACCCAGGAGTGGTGTTGGTCAATACCAAGTAGACTCTATGAGTATCTTTGTTTTGTATGAGAGAGAGAAAGAGAGAGAGAGAGAGAACACGAAAAGAAATTGAATCAGTAGCGAGGTGGGGATGATCTCAGAAGAGTTGGGAGAGAAGAATGAATATAAACAAAATGTACAAAATCATGAGGAAATAAATAAAATCATTATTTAAACATTTTAATAGAAAACTCATGAAGCCTA